AAGAATCACAGATCATTATGAAATGTGAGAATACCCCATTTGGAGTAAACTTAATTGAATTTTGTGCTGATAATGAAGAAATATTGCTTTAATTATTCATTCCATACCTTATGCTTGGTTAATTTTTCTCTGGCTCGAAGACAAGATACTACCATTAATAAAAGGATACTGTTAACAGTTTTCATGATTTTGTTATTGGTTTATGGATACAAATTTTATGATCTGTGGTGAATTCCCATACATTATATAATCCCATCTATTTCAGCCTAACAAAGTGGCTGCCATTAAACAAAGTGGCTGCCATTCACTTTCGTATAACCAAAATTTAAACAATAGCTTTAAATGATGAGTAAAATATTCTAACTGTACAATCACTCAGCTCTTAGGGACAGTAAAGATTTCTGTTTCTCTATTCTAATCAGCAGATCCTTTTCAGTGGGCATGTCTACACATGCATTAATGAACCGTAGTATGGCACTTTAAGTTTAGTACCTAGGATCTGGAACCAACTTCCAAGAGAAGTGGTGCTGGCTCCTACCCTGGGGGTCTTTAAGAGGCGGCTAGATGAACACCTGGCTGGGGTCATTTGACCCAGTACTCTTTCCTGCCATGGCAAGGGGTCGGACTCGATGATCTGCTCAGGTCGTTTCTGACCCTACTAACTATGAAACTGCTAACTAAAATAATAATAATAACAACTGGTGTTACTGCGTAGTGGCACTGACACATGCCTTTTTAGTGACACTAATGCACAGTAAACTAATTTTACTGCACATCAGTGCAATAGCACAGCTTTTGCCATGGTGCACTAATGCACAGTAGAATTAAGCTACTGTGCATTTAGTGTCTCGTGTAGGCACATCCAGTGGTAGGTTAGGTCATTTAGATGCCATCTATTTCTTAAACAAATCCACAACCCAACATAACAAAGAAAATTATAAAGTTCTAAAAAGCAGTGAAACTTGAAAAGCTTGAAAATGGTTCAAAGCTGAATCACATGGGCAGCTATCACTGTGCGTATCACATTATAAAGAGGCAATGGGTATCATCTCAGATTATGCAATACTTCATTTCAGATATTTTCATTATTATCATGGATGGCTCTGTACTTTAAAATGTTGCTGCAAACTTGTTTTCAGGAGACCCAGCTGTATTTGGACATTTAACTGTATGGTTCATTTCACTAGGGTTGGATTAGTTTGGCTGGGATGATATAGCTGGGGATGGTCCTACTTTCAGCAGGGGACTGGACTAGATGATGTCCTGAGCTAGGGACAGACATTACACATAAACCAGTTTAAGTGATCAGAAACTGGTTTAAACCTGTAATGAAACAGATGTGCACTGCACATAAACCAGTTTGAAAATGTCTGAAACCAGTTTGAGATAAACCTGGTGGAATGTAGTATCAGACTTAACTGATTTGGGTCCATTTAAATACAACAGTTGGTACATTCAGACTTCAGTGGAGATTGGAAAATAGGAATTGCTATATCAGAAGTGCATCTATCCAGGTAGGCAGTAGTAGTTGTACCAACTGCTTCAGAAAAAGGTACTTACAAAACATTAGTTTAACTCTCCAAGTTTATCTTGAGCCCCATCATAATTACTCTTTAAATTAGATTTTCTTGTGAGGCACAAAAACATTTAAACATTTTTTCACTCCAACCCCACTCTCCTGAATCTTCTTACATACTTGGCTTACATGATATTAAGTTTGCCCGGATCAACGACTCTATGATCCAATCACTTGCCCCACTTCCCCACCAATCATTTTGTGTTTCATTTGAGGATTATTACTCAGCAATGTTAATTAAAATATGGGGAACCCCCAAGGCATAGAAGCATTAAAGTTTCATTTATAAGTCAAACTGTAGAATTCTATACATGCAGGAATACAGGAGTGAGTGAAACCCCTGGGTCACCTAAGCCCAGTCCCCTAGTTTTGAAGCCAACTATGTCCTACAGTTGCATACATAAAAGAATCCTTCAAATATGAATGTAAAAATAAGTATTCTATTTCTCCATGTAAATCTACTACATATTAGTCATTTATTAACATGCATATATGTAGTTGACTACCACCCTTTTCTTAGAATTATAGTTCTCTGTAAACTCTTCGAATAACATCCAATCATTTTTAAAATGCCTCCAATGTATTTTCCACTCCAAAAACAAACAAACAAAAAACATTTCCTTGCCATTTCCTTAATACAGATTGAACAGGGCTTCTTTTACACCCTAATAAATTCTTTCAGACAGACCACATTTTTCCTTATAGTATCTACAGATATTTCAACAGCCATCTGTAGGTTAAAGAACTCCAGTTCTTTTTCTCCCTTGGCATTTCCATTAGATTACACATATAGCTTCTGCCATCATTACACATCTACAAAACCCACCGTTGCCATTTTGCTTCCTTTTTGTTCAGAAACAGTGACTTGTTAAAATATAATTCTTTTACTACTTCCATATGGATTCTATTCATTTTAATTTCTTAGGTTTCCTTATGGCTTTCTCTAATTAACCTCTTATTTTTCAAAAACATCCCCGTTCTAGTTAATGTCCACAGTACTTAAAGGAATGCCTCTGACCCTCTGTCTCATCAAACTTGGGTACAGTAGAATGGCCCAGCTCTGATCCCATTCTGTATTTTCTGAAGAGCCAGACTGAGTTTTAAACACACAAAATGGTTGTTACCACTCTTTTCATTTCCAAGCTTCTACAGTTGCAATTTTCTTGTGTTCAGTTGCTAAAAATAGAACTGCTTCCAACTACCTGAGCTGGAAACCCACAGAAAAGCTAATTAAAGAGCTGGTAAGCAATGCTGCTTCCCATTGAGCAAATGGTAGGATGAGAATACTGTGCTAATGTACCAGAGTTCACATGGCCCTGCGGGTCTGAAATCTATCAAGTGTCATTTATTTAATCATTCATGGTTGTTTGTTTCCCAGATAAATTACCATTTAAGTAAATATCTATTTGACTGTTGAATCAACAAATCGGAAAAAAAGAGCATCTGTTCTGTTATAAAAGAAAAGGTATTCTGGACTAGATTCTTAGCTTGTATAAAGAGGCATTATTTGACTAGTTTCATAGAAAGAACTACTCTTTTAAAAGATTTTTTGGTTACGTGTGGGCAGAACCCACCAATCATCCTTATAAGAAGGTACCTCTTCACCCCCACTGGTAAGAATTAGCTACTGTGTTTGAACTATTACAGCTGGTTGCCCAGTGAATTTTCTGTGTCCAAATAGTTGAGGTTGATGTGCACAAGAAGCTGATATTATCCTGTGTATTTCTCAACTCAGCATGCATTTACGGGCTCTTTGGGCCTGATCCTTTGCCCTGTAACTGAATGAAAGCTATACTGCTCGCTTATCCAGAATACGATTTGGACCTCTGGTCAAGTAATCAAATCCATCTCACTTTTCAGCTGGAAGTCAGCTAACAATTCTTCAAGCGATGCAACAACATCAATTGGACTCGCTTAGTGTGCTGTGAAACCTCAAAATGGAACTTCTTAGCTGGATGTTGTATTGTTTTTTGAATCAAAACACATCCTGATTTCAATATAAAAGAGACAGAAAGATTCTGAAAGAGACACATTGTTTAAAATTGCAGAGTTTGGCAATTACAGACTGGAACTCAGACAGCAAGTGTGAAAATGTCTCCTCTGCTCTTGCTCTCACATCTCTAAGTGTTCCTCCTTTCTAATCTACAAAGGAAATAGACTGTCCACTTTCCACTGAAAATTCACAGATTTGCCAGAGTATGTCAGAGAATATAAACCAGCTATGTGCTGTCTGTCACATCCTTGTTCTATAGGACAATGTTGCTTTTAGATTGAAAAAAAAAATTGATAGACACGAGATACAGAGAGATTTTGATAGAGGTGGTCTGATTAATGATTTTCAAACTGCTGAAGTTGGTAAGTACAATTAGGAAGTTAACCCAGGAGACCCTCATGCATATACACAAGGTACATGGCTGTCTTCTCACTATTCTGGTTTCTACCTAAGCTATTACTTATGGTTTAGCTAAGACAGTCCGTTTTAGTTTATACGCTCAGACATCAAATACCCACTACCGTTTCATTCTTTGCACATTTGCTTGGTGAACTGACATATGCTTCTGAAATATCTATAAGCATCTTGTTGGTAATCTGCTTCTATCAAGTTAAAATTGATTGCTTAATATGGAAGCCATATACATCTGTTAACATAAAGTGTCCTTTCCCCTATTTTTAAACAGAAGATTTTGTAAAGAAAAGAATAACAATGGTCACACAATTGGCTTTTTCAAAAATTCTGAGATCTCTGGTTACAGGAGTTATAAAGAATGTCTCATTATTTCTCTTTAGAAACCATAAAAATAATGCAAAAGCCATTCCAGTTTGATCTGTTTGATGAGTAGAATGACCTTGTGATCTTTGCCCATCTCAATCCTGCTTTACACCCATCTATCCCTATGACTCAGGCTATGAAACGGATACATCAAAATGAATATCCCCACAAGAGTCCCAAGCCAGAATATAATTAATGAAACATGAAAGTATAAATTAACTCCAGATTTAGGAAGTACTTCAAAGGCTGCCCTGAGTAAAAGTAACAATTAATACATTCCTTAATTCAAGAAGTGCTTGAAGCAAACACATTGATCAGAATACAAGGAGAGGGAAATAAGACATGATAATGTCATTATGCTGACAATAAGTGAGACTTTTTACCCCCAAATGAACTATAAACAACGGGTGCAATCATTTACCATGTTATCATAGCACTAATTTCCAAGATTTAAGTCTGTTTCTACCTCAAATCCAAGATATCTACTGTACTGCAGAAAATGTATTCCAAGTAGCTTTTTACTATCCACCAAGTTTCACACAGTACAGTTATCTATTTAGAAAATGAAGCATTAACAGGGTTCAGAACCATTTGGTAACTGAAAACCAGTGAACAAGCTGCTTTTATAGAGTAAATACAAATGCCATTGCTTACCTCAGCTATGTGTGGCGTAGGATTAAATCCACAGAGATTGCACACAATGCTCTTGCATCCTGTACATGTGTTAAAGTTGGGTGGATCCTTAGAACCAACATTTAGTTCAGTTTTACAAAGAGGACAAGTTGATTTAGACTGCGTAGTTTTTTGTGGTTCGGGTGGCCCAGACGGTTTTTTGGATTCAGCAACTGGAGGCTTGCTGTCTTTAGCCACAGTCAGTTTCTTTTCTAACTCAGATTCTTTCATGGTTAAAATGTTATCAGCTTTGGGTAGCTCTGGTTTTTCTATCACAGGAGGCTTGGCATCTTTTTTTACAGGTCCTGCTTTTGGAGATGGCTGAGCCTGACTGGACTCCTTGGATGGTACTTGAGAGGCAGGGGGCTGTGAGGGAGGTGGGGGCTGCTTAGCAGCAGGCCCTGGTGAAGGTCCTGATGACTGAGCTCCTGGCTGACCTGCTGTGGAGATCAAATTTGATGCCTGACTGAAGATTGAAGCACCAAAGCCAAAGAGTTTTCCAGTAACTGTTTCCTGTGGAGTTGTAGGTTGAGGTTTGGGAGAATCAGTAATTCCTCCCAAATTAAGACTGAAACGCCTTGTTTGCTCTTGAGCTTTCTGAGGCTGTTGGGGTGGGGGTGGTGGCTGCCCTGGAGTAGGCCTGGGGCCTACAGCTGCTTGCGGACCTTTTAGAACCTGCTTAGCATCCATCTTTGGGGTAGCTTTTGTTTGTACCTTCTTAGGGTCTTCTTTCACCTGTGTTGGCGGCCCAACAGGTTTTTGACCTTTAACATCTGATCCAGGCCCAGGCTGAGAAACAAGTTTGGGATCCCATTTTTGCTGAGACACTTGGGGTAGGCTTCTGGAATCTGGCAGCAGAGGTTTCTCCCCAGCCAGATACGTTTCTTGCAAGGACTTGGAAGTTTCCGATCTCTGAAGATCCACTGCTTTCTGTTGGGTCGGTGGAGGTTTGGGACCTGCTGAATCCTGTTTTGGACTGGGTACTGAAGAGGTAGTCACAGTGTCAGGTGTAGGCTTTTGTATACTTGGTTGCTTTTGCTTATCTTGAAATAAAGTTGGCTTGGCCTGGTCAGTTTTTGTTGGCAGTTCCATTTGCTTAGAGGTCTGTGGAATAACAGGCTCAGTGAGGGGATGTTTTGATTTTACAGGGGGAGAGCCAGACATTGATGGTTGCTTTGTCAATGGAGGGGCTTTTTTGGATTCCAGTGGCTGGGAAGGGTCAGGTTTTTGAGGAACATCTTTCTTTTGAACAGGCTGTTGGGGTTGGGCGGGTGATTTAGTCACTGAAGGCGGAAGGAAAGGTTTCTGTTTGGGTGGAAGAGGCTGTGGTCCAGGACCATGAACTGGAGCCAAGTCACCACCTCGTGCTCTTTGCATCTGGCAGTTCAAACAGAGCCACTCCTTTATCTGTAGGGGAAAGAATTAAGAAAACTATGATTAGGATAATATAACAGTAATGTAGTAAACATGATATTACTAGCAATATTTTGTGCTAGCATTCCAGGGGAAAGTTGAGTATAAAGGGGGTAAAACACTACCAATTGAATACTGCTGTACAAAGAAACAAAACAAAACAACCCCCCACCCCAAATGCTTGAATTTCTCATTCACTTTTTAATTCTTATATTCTAAGCTCTCAGCCCTGTTTTACAGATCTAGCAACTTACAGAAAATTAAGCAATGGAGGATCAACTTATAGCAATACCAGGAAAAACTCTAGAAATTTGCTAGCACCAATTTATCTGCGGCATTGTTTCCTGCATCCCTTCCCCGACCATCCCAAAATGCCACTCCTAAAATAGTTTGGCAAATCAAACGTATTTTGATGGAAAGCCATAATTATAATCATTAGAACAAAAGTAAATGCATAATTACCTTTAATTGTTTGAAGATCAAGATCCTCATCTAGCTTATAGTTTTAGTAATGCTTTAAATTACAGGGCACGAGTCACATTGGTACTCTATCTGTACATACAGAATTAGGTACAGAGATGCATTAATGAATCCCATGTATTTACATGGGCCTGCATTGTGCCATCATTTCTGAGCACAAGTCTTCATTTGAAATCAATGAGGAACTTTGCCTAAAAATTGATGGCAAACCATAATTAGGTGTTCCTGCAATCATTCTGTTACTAGGCTTAGGGATCCAAGAGTAATTACCATATACTCATTATATGCTCCTCCAGGGAAGGGAAGGGAGGTAAAAATAAGTTAAGTTTTCTTCTATGGCCCTCAGTACTGCAGCTCCTCACAATCTTTAGGCTTACAATTCCAAAACAACTGAGAGTTTCTACGCCATTTTACAGATAAGGAACAGCGGCAGAAAAAGATCCAAGCCCAGATGCACAAAAGTATTTAAAACACCTATATTCCAATTTTCTCCCTAATTTTCAGTGAAATAGGAGTTAGGCACCTAAATTGTGTTCTGGGTATAAGTGACCTGCCTGCCACCTCAAAGAAAGTGGTAGAGCAGGAAATTAAATTTAGAGCTTCCAAGTCCAAGGCTAGCACCCCAACCCCTGGAGCATCCTTCTTTTATTCTCATACACTTATAACACTACTTAAAAGAGTGGAACAGAAAAAGCATTGCATTACTTCCCTAAAAAGAATCCACCCAACTGGTCTTCAGATCTAGAGATCTTGAAGGGGGAAATTCAGAGGCATAACTAATCAATTCTGTACCTGGGACAGTACTGTACATACATGAGTGTACACGCATGCATGCAGAGGTTCCTCCCTCACTATGCACCTTCCCTGGAGCAGCTCCAACTCCCACAGTGAGGAGGAATGAACAGCAGGAGCAGCCACTGCCAGAGGTTCACTGTTGCTGGGGGAGATGGTGCCTTTTTTGCCCCTAACACACATCTCCAACAGTTCTCATTTCTACCGAAAGGTGAAAAAACACCTGTAGAAATGTTGCAGGGGGCAAAGTGAAGTGATAGCTCCTCGACATGAGATTATCTCTGATGAGACAACTTCCAGATAATACTAAAGCTGAGGAGGTATAGTGCTATTCATTATAGTATTTATCTTTTGCTTTTCTATGCTCATTAATTCCTTTGAAGGGGAAGGTAGGGCATAGGTACAGATGGGAAACCAGTGACATCCCCTCTTCTGAGTGAGCTGAACTTCCAAGGGCAATAAGAGCTGCACAACAGAGCAGATCACACTGATACATAATTCTCTAATAGATCTCTTGACTCTTAACATAGGAGATAGAGATTCAAGCACCTTGATCCCTCCATTACAAATCCTTGCCCTCACCATGCCATAAAATGAAAGCTAGGGCATATTGCATGGTGAAGGTTTTACCTTTGAAGGAAATTATACAAGGCTGCAATACAGGAAATATTAAAAGACAGATTGAGCTCTTACACCATGCATGCAGTTCCCATTGAATTAAACTCAGGTTGCACATGGGGAAATTAAAATTAAAACAGGCCATGGCTGCATTGGTACATTGTACTTATCCTGCTAATGCCGTTCAGTCTCTGTGCACAGATTTACAATAGCCAAAGCAATACTAAACAGAATACTGTCACCAATATTAGGTTTTCTTCTCTCTCTCTTTTTTAATTTTCACAGAAAACATGGTCTTAGACCATGTTAAGCAGCTCTCAGCAGCATTTTCAACACCAACATTTTATGATTGAACAGCCTTCAAAGTAAGAAACTGATTAAATAAAATAAAACATTTAATTTCTGCAGTGAATAAAGGAATAAAATTCACAACTGAACAGGGGTGCCACTTAAATCCTGCTTTGGTTATTTAAAAAGTGTATAATCCTTGGATGGACCTTCTGCAGTTTCAATTTTTTCCATAATAAAATTACCTAAATTATGACACGCAACAACATTGTAGAAAAGGCGTTACCTTTTCCTTTACCTTGTGTTTTATTTCAATTAATGACATTTTAAAAAATTGAGGGTCTTTTAGTTTCTTCAGATGCCTTCTTTCCCATATGTTATGGTAAAGGGTAAGTAGAATATATGGTTAAAGTCCAGCCTGCTTTCAGTACATAATCTGAGCCTAATAGACAAACAGGAGTTAACCCTGTGTTGCAGCCAGCAACGTACTAAACCTTAAGCCTTCATTTGATATTTTAATGTGTTTATTTTATTTTATGGATCAAAAGAAAACTTTTAAAAGAAAAGTTAGCATGCAACTCCCACGACTAAACTTTAAAAGGAAAATTTGGAAGTTTTACTTTATTTTTTGCTTTTAAATCTCTTCATTTTAGGCATAATTTCCTCCCATGCACTTTAGTGGGAGGAATGCAGTGCTAAAACTTGAGTACTATTAAAACCAATACCTGCCTTCTTAAAATACATACACACTACAGCTTTCTGATTTCCAACTAAAAGAGTCACAAAATAAAATACTTTAAGAGCTGCATTTTACTAACTACAACATTGAATCATGGGGCTGTTTGTGCTTCTACTGCAGTCAGAGAGTTTTGCTGTTGATTTAAATGGGAGTATATTTAGGCTGTATCCAATGATGGTTTTTCACAAGTTAGAGACAGACATTTTATTGAAAAAACTGGCAAAATACTGTGAACAAGAACCTACCAACCCAAAGAAAATGCGCATGGGGAAAAAACAAAACACTTGCACGCCTCGACAGAGGGCCTGAACAGTCTTCTAACAGCCAAAAACCCAAACTGATCTTTTTAGTATTCACGGTCATTTTTAAAAGTCCTGTGTATCCACAACATGCACTCCAAATTCAGAGAAATTGTTTTCTTAAATAGTGGATGCTTCTAAAGAAAAGATCATTGATCCAATCTAAACTGAAACCTCAAGGACACAGAAACCATACAATATGATTACCCTTTTTCTTCCTTTCAAAGATCCAGTGGGATTCAGGACATGTGTCCAGTACATAGGATCTCAACCTTCAAATGCTTTGCCTTACATTTTAAACAAATATTTTTGGAACTATGACAGAATGGTCTGTCATCTGCCACAGATTTTCTCCCTCTTATGTCAATTCAAAATAACAAACAAATATATAAGTAAGAAAGTGTATTGTATATGCTAATAAGCCATGCATTCTGAGGAAATGATAAAAACCTCTCTAAAGAATGCATTAATTAAAAAATAAGAATTCTAAATTGAGTTTATTTGCTATTTTCCAGCAGTATTGTACATGAAAAGTGATCGGACAATAACTGCACCAGTGCCTAATTCAGCAGCTTGCCTTTCTGTGTGTATTCAGTCTGTTTGCAGAGGCAAAATGTGGGCATCTTTTGATCGGTTTGGGAACACACACATGCCTCTATGATGCCTAATGACACCAAGACGAATCTTTATTTTATTTCAAGAATAAAAATTAAACAAGATAATACTAAACTAGGAAGATAAAACAGCAGATTAGCCAGCAAGTTTACACTGCATCAAATAGGTGTAGTTGCAACAGATAAGAAATGACAAGTCTCTGAATCCTGTAGTGAGCAGAGGAGCAAGTTCAACTGCAGAACAAATAAAACAGGGATGAAAGGTCCAATTGAAAATGTCCTTTTCATCTGAAGTAGTCTGTACAATACTAAAAATAAGCCTTCTTTTCCTTGAAATATGGTCAGGTCTGCATAGCGATTAATAATACTTCCTAATGAGGCACAGGAAACATTATTTTTGCAATTTGGGGCCTAAGTCAGCACACTATTCCTGATATAACCACACTTCTAACTATAGAAATGGCCCTGAAGAACTATATCTCACAGGGCCCTGAAGAACTATATTTATGTGTCACTATGGAAGTACTAAATCATGGCACAGTAACAGCCCATACTGTGCCATACACAAGGCGCACAGTTATTTTTAACAGCTACTTCGCTGTAGCTGTGTGCTATACCAGGGGAGCATATCACTACAGCAAAGTAGCTGCGGGTCACGTGTAGATGCCCACAGACTCTGTGTTGCCATAGCATGTTGATATGGCGATGTCATGTCACATGTAGACGCACCCATGGTGTATGCATGGTAATAATTTTGGGGCAGTTGTAGAACACTACCATATGCTATTTTTAAAAAGGCCCCTTTAAACAATTTAATCCTAAACTACAGCAATGTAAAGATATTTGAATTGTATCATTATATAAAAAGTCACTTCCTCTCATTTATCACAAACTTAAAACATACTAAAGCACAGGGCTGTAATTAATAATGCAAAACTTTATACTGTACAAAAAGGCCTTTTGGCATGTTTGGTACTAAAATGTCATTATTTATATAATAAGAGCTATCATAAAACAAAATAATGAGCACCATCTTTTGATAAGCTCATTTTTGCCTGTCGTTTTTCTTATGAGTCTATGAAAATTAATTTCCCATACAGAAAATATGTTTTAAACTGCTTTGTGTATTGTTTAAGAACTACAGCAAAAGCTGTGTTAGCCGGC